TTTGAACCCACGCCTCCATTCGGAGACCAGAAATCTCAGCAACTGAGAAGGTTGACAATCCTTGAGTCTGGCGCCTTAGACCACTCGGCCATCCTGACACTTAAACAACTATGTTAACCTCAGTCACATCACTGTCTATTGATAAATACATACAGAATTAATATAACAATTCTTCCTTAATAAAAGCTCTTTGTCAGAAGTGGGATTTGAACCCACGCCTCCATTCGGAGACCAGATATCTCAACAACTGAGAAGGTTAACATTCCTTAAGTCTGGCGCCTTAGACCACTCGGCCATCCTGACACTTAAACCACTATGTTAAGCTCAGTCACATCACTGTCTATTGATAAATACACACAGAATTAATATACCAATTCTTCCTTAATAAAAGCTCTTTGTCAGAAGTGGGATTTGAACCCACGCCTCCATTCGGAGACCAGAAATCTCAACAACTGAGAAGGTTAACATTCCTTGAGTCTGGCGCCTTAGACCACTCGGCCATCCTGACACTTATGTTGAGCTCAGTCACATCACTGCCTATGGTTAAATACATACAGAATTAATATAACAATTCTTGATTAACAAAAGCTCTTTGTCAGAAGTGGGATTTGAACCCACGACTCCATTCGGAGACCAGAAATCTCAACAACTGAGAAGGTTGACAATCCTTGAGTCTGGCGCCTTAGACCACTCGGCCATCCTGACACTTATGTTGAGCTCAGTCACATCAACTGCCTATGGTTAAATAAATACAGAATTAATATAACAATTCTTGATTAACAAAAGCTCTTTGTCAGAAGTGGGATTTGAACCCACGCCTCCATTCGGAGACCAGAAATCTCAACAACTGAGAAGGTTGACAATCCTTGAGTCTGGCGCCTTAGACCACTCGGCCATCCTGACACTTATGTTAAGCTCAGTCACATCACTGTCTATGGTTAAATACATACAGAATTAATATAACAATTCTTCCTTAATAAAAGCTCTTTGTCAGAAGTGGGATTTGAACCCACGCCTCCATTCGGAGACCAGAAATCTCAACAACTGAGAAGGTTACAATCCTTGAGTCTGGCGCCTTAGACCACTCGGCCATCCTGACACTTATGTTGAGCTCAGTCACATCACTGCCTATGGTTAAATACATACAGAATTAATATAACAATTCTTGATTAACAAAAGCTCTTTGTCAGAAGTGGGATTTGAACCCCCCCTCCATTCGGAGACCAGAAATCTCAACAACTGAGAAGGTTGACAATCCTTGAGTCTGGCGCCTTAGACCACGCGGCCATCCTGACACTTATGTTGAGCTCAGTCACATCACTGCCTATGGTTAAATACATACAGAATTAATATAACAATTCTTCCTTAAAAAAGCTCTTTGTCAGAAGTGGGATTTGAACCCACGCCTCCATTTGGAGACCAGAAATCTCAACAACTGAAAAGGTTGACAATCCTTGAGGCTGGCGCCTTAGACCACGCGGCCATCCTGACACTTATGTTGAGCTCAGTCACATCACTGTCTATGGTTAAATACATAGAGAATTAATATAACAAATCTTCCTTACAAAAGCTCTTTGTCAGAATAGGGATTTGAACCCACGCCTCCATTCGGAGACCAGAAATCTCACCAACAGAGAAGGTTATCATTCCTTGAGTCTGGCGCCTTAGACCACTCACCACTAACCAGCAGCCATATCACCCTGTAGCCCAAGACTGGTTGCCCATTAAAGCTAAGCAGGGCTGAGCCTGGTTAGTACCTGGATGGGAGACCTTCTGAGAAAGCCAGGTTGCTGCTGGTAGAGGTGTTAGTGTGGCCAGCAGGGGGTGCTCACCCTATGGTCTGTGTGGGTCCTAACGCCCCAGCAAAGTGATGGGGACACTATGCTGTCAAAAAGAGCACCGTCCTTCGGATGAGGTGTTAAACCGAGGTCCTGACTCTCTGTGGTCATAAAAAATCCCAGGATGTCTTTCGTAAGAGTAGGGGTGTAACCCCGGCATCCTGGCCAAATTTGCCCAGTAGCCTCTGTCCATCATGGCCTCCTAATCATCCCCATATACACCAATTGGCTTCATCACTGTCTCCTCTCCACCAGAAAGCTGGTGTGTGGTGAGCGTTCTGGCGCAATATGGCTGCCGTCGCATCATCCAGGTGGATGCTGCACATTGGTGGTGGTTGAGGAGATCCCCCCTTCTATGTGAAGCGCTTTGAGTGTCCAGAAAAGCGCTATATAAATGTAACGAATTATTATTATTATTATTATTATTATTATTACCACTCGGTCTAAGACCAGAATTCCAAACAACTGAGAAAGGTGTTATTCTTTGATTCGGACACGCCCTAAGTTCACTTGTGACATGTGCTTTAGACCATTCACTTAGATCGTTAAAATAGGGCCCTTTGAGTGCTTCTCAGTACTTAAAGGGGGAGTTGACTGCGATTTCACTTTTTTGATTTTAAATAGTGTGTAATGTTGCTGTTGGTGCATGAACAGCATCTGCAAAGTTGCAGTGCTGAAAGTTTAGTGTAAGCAGAGATATCGTATTTTAAAAATCAGGAAGTATAATTGCCTACAAAAACGACTCAATTACAAAAATTACTCGATAACGACTCGGGACTACAGCTGGGTTTTACACGTCACTAACCCACAAATTCGCATCAACCCCTCCCTCCGGAATATGCAGGAAAGGGCATGCGCATATTTCTGCGGCACGTCGAGTGTGTTATGTTCACCCAGCTGTCAGGTCTTCTGTGTTCGAGCTTCACACGGACGCTCTACTTCGTCAACAATGGATACAATTTATGTTTGATTATGTTCCTGAAAGTGACGATCGTAATCTAGCTCTCTGTGCTGCGCATTTTACGGAAAACAGCTTCCAGAATCTCCACGAATTCAACACCGGATTCAACAAGAAACTGTTACTAAGACATGAAGCAGTTCCAACTTTAAAACCAGAGGCAGCAGTTGTTGCGCCACAACCTGTAAATAGGTTAAGACTTCATCATTTTAGATGTATTTGCATGTATAATTTTTTTTTTTTCCAATGCCAGCGCTGGCCTTTTTGCTATTTTTATGCTATTGTGTCTACGACAAACGTGTACAAACATTATGGACCTGTAATTTGTATAAGTACTAATGTTGTAAATGTTTTTTTTTCATGTATATATGCTTCATGACGTTATTTTCGATTTGATCAAGAACGTAAACTTGCCAACGCTGTTTGTGTTTAACATTAGTAGCCAGTCAGTTGCTATTGTTGCCAGACAGATGCTATTGTGTAAAACAAACGTGTATATTGTTAAAAAAAATGTGAAAAATTATCATTCAGAAACATTTACTAAGAACCGTGTGTAGTGAGGTTCTGTTTGACTCTCTTCATCGCCGCTTTCTCGGTCTAATTCTGCCTCACTGATACTGTAGTCTCGACATCATTATTTACGTGTATCCACCGGCTATGGTATCCACCTTTGGCATGCCCGTTTCGCTCGTAAAGGTAATGGGCGTTAGCCTTCCGGACAACGTGAGCGACAGTTTAGCCAATCACAACACACCGGCCCAAACTAAACAATCTGAGCCCACTGCCTGTTTCTGAGGGAGTGGTTTCATAGAATCAGGAAGTCAACCGCTCGTTCGAGGACAGGGGAGAGCACGGCTTACAATAAAGGTGCAGTTTATGAAAAATAAGACTTTTTTAAAAAGTCACCCCATAAACACAATCATGCAAAGAAAAAAAGCAGTCCCTCTGACTTTTTATTTCATCAGATAGTTTGTAACCACATGGGTGAGTAAATTATGACACTTTTTAATTACTTGAGGAACTAATTTTAATTAAAATGGCATTGTATTAATTGTACATGGTAACAAAATGCATCACTGTATACAATTATACAATACAATAATTATACAACTTTTACTTATATAACAATGTTTTCATTTTAATGTTTTCATTTCATTTGTTTGATTCATAGTTTAGATGTAGGTGTTTTCAAAATGGATCTGTAACACTTTGCTATGCAACTTTGCAAATTGTTTATTACAGCTATTATTACACATTAACAGAAAGTAAAAAAAGGTCCCATTTTACATTTGTAACTTAAAAATTCTGATTTACAAAATTATTAAAGGTACAATATGTATATATATATATCCAAAAACCACTTGCACAGTGTTTGCAATGTATTTCTTTCAATTGTGTAATTACATATTCCGGCCCACATCTGGTAAGTGTTGAATCCACATGTACAAGATGTGACCCGGATCTAGGCCGACGCTACAGTATGTTGCTGTCTAAGAAATGTTTCAAGAACTTGTCAATTCAGAGAAATTCACAATTGTAAATAGTGCCCGTTCCTTGTCGCCTATCAACGTAATATCCGTGTTATCCCTGGTTTCAGCTTGTACTAACCATGGCAACAGACATCTAGCGGCACGCTGTTGTTGTTTCGTTCAAACATTATGGACCATGGCAAGCAGACTTTGGAGCAAAAAAATAAATAAATAAATACAACAAGGATCAATATCTGTGTTTTCGCAGCCCGTTCTCATCCTTTAACGTCATATAGAACGCTATATGCAAAAACGGCGCTATACTACGCACATGGCACCCATTATCGTTAATATAACACGGGAACCCAAGACGTCATAACCCAAGACGTCACCCAAGACGTCGTGTTATATTAACGATAACGGGTGCCATGTGCGTAGAATAGCGCCGTTTTTGCATATAGCGTTCTATATGACGTTAAAGGATGAGAATGCGTTGGTTTTCGAGATGCAGAGAGCTTTGTGACATACTTCAACTTGACAGAGACGCCACTCTTCCATGTGCTTTAGACAGGTGAGCAAATGTACATAAATCAAATCAATAATATAGTGTAGCTCAACATGATGAAATGTTAGAATGTGACCAGTATGTGATTCTAATGTTGATCTAGCTTATTACTAGTCTCATACAGCCAACAAACTATAATAACATTATAACTTCTAATACACTCAAATGTAGTTTACTAGTGTAGACCAAGTGAAACAGCGCTACGTTACCTCACAAATTCGTCAAATAAGCTGACCTTTGTGAGTAGTAATTCAGCACTTGCGAGTACTTCGGTCAGTCAAATGAAATGTCCTAATTTCTTTATATTCCCTGGGACTCAGGTGTGATGCTGATATCTGTCTCTCATTAGCAATCGCGCCCTGCTTCATGTTACAGTAAAAAAACATCAATGTATTCACTCATCCATAAATATTATTTCTCCATTAACATTATTAGATCCGTCGGCATGACAACAACTTCCATGATTCCACACCCATTTACAACATCATCAATTTGCACCTTTGTTATTGTTTTGAAGAGTTTAGCGACCCCTAATGGCGAAAAAATACCGATTTTTGAGACTGTCAAATTTTTGGGGGAGTAGGCCTTCATTCTTGTGGCAAGGGAAGCATTACTAACGAGGGTCAGCTGCGCGCCACACCAGCCTCTTATCTCACGGAGGAACTACGGAAGCCAGTGTGCCGAGCAGGTTTCGTCACACGCCACAAGCCTTGAGCTTTTCTCTCACGACCCTCCTCCAGCTTGACACAATTTTAATCCCAGAATTTTCCTTAAATTGTTTGATCAATTTATTATTCCTGTCAATTGTCTCATTGTCTGTAGAAATAAGCAGAGACTGTCTGAAGTAACAGACACTAGTGTTGCCAGAGTTTGTGGCCATGATATCACTTTCCAGTTGTTTCAATGCCATTGTGAGAATGGGTATGGTTAGAGGGCATCCTTGTCTGAGTTTTCTGTAGTTTTTGATGGAGTGGTTGGCCTTGGGGAGGAGATTCTCCAGAATGCTGAAGTCCTTTGGTGGTGTAGGGGTAATATGTTTAAGAGACGTAAGTAATGAGAGACTTTGCTTGAGGAAAGACATCTTGATTTTTTGGGGGCATTGTGCAATAGTCACACAAATACAACCACTGCGTATCTTTTTTCTTTTCCTAAATGATGGCGTTAGAAACACTTTAAGGCGTTTGGCTAAAATCTGAGACAATATCAAATAGTTAACATTGAAAGAATGCATTTTGTCTGAAGTGAGCAATGATTTTACAAAACATTTAGGAACATGTTTAGACTTCAGCATCATGTTGTAGTTTATCTTTAATATTTCTGTCATTGGAAGGGCATTCTTCTTGTAGTCACAAACTCTGAGATTATCAGGAGTTTGTTCTTGTGAGTCCGGCAAAGATCTAATGGCACTTAGGATTTCTGCACCATTTATTTTCCCTGCACTTCGGTCTGGTTCTCCACTGTATCCAAATTCCCTTAACATTGAGGCAACTTCCGGCTCTGCAATTTCCCGCAGTACTGGAACTTTTATTTCTAAAACTAGAGGATCATGATCAGAAATTCTCTTGCTCCCACTTGTAGATTTTCTCATTTTTGCTTGGTAAATTTCACAGTTTTTGACATACTTTACTGTGTTGGTTGGCATGAAAAACATATCCAACCTTGAATGACTCTGATGCTGAGTTCGTGTGAAGCCTTCTTCCGTTGGATGCATTGATGCAAATATATCTTTGAGATTTAAAGATTCTGTGAAATCTTCTAGAATGATTCTAAGTGAGGAATGGTACGTTTGATCTGACGATGATTTCCTATCAATAGTTGGGTCCAGTACAGTGTTGAAGTCCCCACCAACCACAACCACACCTTTTGTGTTAATAGCGCTCAAATAGTCTCCCAATCTTTTCAGCATACACCTGTCTTCCTTGTGGTTGTACACATTAACAAGAGTATACAACTCACCAACGAGATTACAGAAAAGGACAATATAGCCTCCGCTGTAATCCTCATCATGGCATATGTAGCGAAATTTTATTTTATTCTTTATCAGGATAGCAACTCCTTTGCTGCGAGGATGGTGGACAGTGAAGAAAGACTTCCAGCCTTTTATGTTCTCTAGTGCTTTGTAAGACTGAGGTCCAATGTGTGTCTCTTGTAAAAAGACAATATCAGCCTTCAGTTTGATGAGCTCAGCTAACACAAGTTCGAGTTTGGAGCTTTTTTCTTTTGTGAACCTGATTCCCATAGTGTTCCAAGAGACAAAACGAAGTGGCCGATGTTTTGGTGGTTCCATTATTTATATGATGCTCTGGAGAAAGATTAACAAAAAAATACAATTACTTTAAGATTATAAGAATGTCATGTCCTGTTAAAATGGACACCAATACTCCAAATGCACATACAATTAATCTAAAGAGCCCTTCATCATTTTGAAAAATGACCTAAAAACCACATATCAGTACCACTAGCTTTTTACTAATAAACTGTCTTATTCAGGATTTCATGAAAATCACAATAATAATATTATTCAATATATTTCATACTGGCATAATAATAATGGAAACTTATTTTGGAAACTATTTATCCATCTAATAATTTAAAGAATTCCAATTTGTTGCAAAACAAACAAACACGAACAGCTCAGACTTAGATGGTGGAAATGCTTTAAAATCCTCGGGAACTATTTGAGTAATTAATTGCAAACAAATAAATAAAATAAAATAATAATAATAATCTTAATCTGACTTTGTCATGAAAGCATTTTTTTTTTAAATTAGACATGTCACAAGCAGAGTTTGGGTCTAATCAGAGTATCTGTCTACTTTAAATTTTGTATGATTTTAAAACACTTTATGATTTGATGTTAAAGACTTCAACCTACCCTATACACTTAAAAACACACAGAAGGAAAAAAAAGATTGTATAAAGCAATAATGGTTTCCCATGGGTTAAGTTCACATTATACGGATTGATTTGGGAAAAAAAAACAAATTAACAACATTGTTTTGTATGTCATCACATACTGCAAACGTACATATTATAAAATAACTCACACTCACCTTTTTGAAGCTTGGTGGTTGTAAAAAACTCTAAGAATGGTGTTGTACGATGACACTCAATTGTTGACGAGATTTAGTGATGGATTTCCTCTCATTTAACCTTTAGTATGAGAATTCTAAATACGGTTGCCACTCCTTAAGGGAAGGTACATGAGTCATTCAACAAACAACTAGGGACATGGTGTGACACTGTATATTTGCATATGAATATGTGCAGATTTAGACAATATGGTCAAATGTAGGATCGTGGATTCTCTTCTTCAGGCAAAGAGAGACGGAATTGGATTCAAAAAACATTGTAGGCTTCATTAGCATGGATACAACGAAAACTTTTTTAAAACTCATTTAACCCATTACACTATTTGAACAGCGTGAGGTTTGTTTATTAGGTTGTGAGACAAAATATGATCACTCTGAAGAACGCCGGTCTTCCTTACGGTTATGCTGCATATAAAGGCATGAGGTTGAAGATGAAAGGTTAACATGTTTTAGTAATTTCCATAAGGTAATCCACGCGAAGACAAGTAGGCAAACACAACCATAAAGGAGACTGGGCAAAGCTGACAGTGCTGACAAATCAAATCAGTAACTATTTGATAGCTAGTGCAAACATGGTGATATTGTAGTCTTTTTATAGTAATCTTTACTATGATAAGAAGTCAACATGCTGCTGTGCTATTATGTTGGGTTAAGAAATCATTAATACATATTATATAATGCTTAACATATCATTTGTTGATATACAGTATATTCACATAGATGTAAATATGAGATAATGTGCTTGTTAATGTTATAATTATTTAAAGGGGTCATGAATTGAGAAAAGAAAATGCTCACATATGCTTTTGACATATAAGAGGTCATCATATTATAAGAATATCCTGTAAGTTTCAGAACTGAAAACGTCCTTGTTAGTCCAAACCCATGCAAAAAGTTATAATTAAATAATCTCTAATTAATATTGTGTTTGCACTGTTAGACATGATGGAAGCATTCGTGAGAGCGCAGAAACTGAGTTACAATGACGAATTACTGTTCTCTACACAGTAGCCGTCACTGCTCATCAGTGCAATGTTTCATGCCACAATCTGAATGCAATGCCATCTAAAATAGTGCAAAAAGTTTTCGAGAGAGTTCCACATCTCATACTTAGTTATTTCATATGCAGTGATGTAGCCAATCGCAGCAGTGGGCGTTTACACAAAAGTCTCACAGCAGGACACTTTATTATTTTATAATAAATATAATAAAATTTAATATAATAAAATAATGCAGTTCATAAACCTTTTTAATGTAAATTAAAATGGTTACAAATATCGTTAAACTTTCGATTCATATGATCATGCACTTCTTGAAAATCTACAATGTCATTAAACTTAATGGGCTCTATCTTGCAGCCAGCGCAAATGACTTTAAACACTAACGCATGTCTCATTTCTATTTTGCACCCGAGCAAAGCAGGCTTTTCCCTCCACAGACGCACGTCGGTAAAAAATTAACTTGGGCGGATCGGCACAAAAAGGAGTGTTTCGGCGCAAACATTCCCTGGTGCTATTTTACAGTTCCAGAAATCAGTTGCGCCACTGACCAGAAAAACTGGTCTAAAGTCAGTGGCGCATTGCGCGTTGTTCATAATGCTATTTTTAGCGCGCATGCTTGGCCAGAATGTAGCGAGTACACAACGCGCATACACTGATTCTCTCATCAACACAGATGCAGCAGTTTTTTCACTTTGCACTTTGACACTTGCGTTTCAGATTGTTAAAATAGGGCCCCATATTACCTAATACACTTTTTTTTTACATTTAATACAAATTCAGGACAGAATATCGAAACCAGGTGGACCTGGATAAATATTTAGTATGTTCCGATCCAATCTGACTTGTATGATCATAATCATACTCTGTCCATTCTGTCACCTGATGGAGTTTGGGTTTGCTTTTGGCTTGCTTAGTTGGGGACACTTAATATTTAACAACATTATTGGTCTGACTGCACTGATACCTATGATGGCTGAGAAAGCTCAACACATGAAAAAAAAACACATGCAAATAATTAAAAAAAAAACACCCGCAAATTATGTTCATCAGTTTCACAACACGTGAATACTCCAAATACTCACAACACAACCAAGTACAGAAACGCGCAGCAAAAGTTCACAACACAACCAAATACAGAAACGTGCTGCAAATAGTACAGACCACAATGAAAATGTTTCCAGGTGACCCCATAAGTGACAAACCCGGCTGGGACAGGCTTATTGATTGTAAGCCTCCGTATGCCATACTCCCTTCGAAGGGCAGACGGCAGAGCCCCAGCGAGAGGTTAGTTTTTTAAAAGTTATATGATTAAGAACAAAAGGAGAAACAATGTATAGCTCAAATTTACCAAGGGTTCCTATATATGTTATTTCAATTAAAACACATTTATCTCTTAATGAATTTACCATTACGGCTATTTGCATCAGTGTTCCACCTTGTGAATGCTAATAATTTACTATAAACTGAATTCTCCTTAACAAATGCAAGCTTTTTTTCCTTTCGAATGCCTCACCACAGACAGGTGTTTCTCTGCATGGCGGAGGTTGATGTGGATGCCCTTAGAGGAAAGGGTGCGAGAAAATTGATATATCTTCAGCAAGATTTTGCACTGTGACACCACGATAAGCAAGACTGGAATTAGCACGAAGCAGGCGAAGGAGCAGATCACATAAACAGCATCTGTCATGGATGTGTGGTAACGACGCCAGGCCACAGTGCAGGAGATGCCATATGGTTCAGGCACATACTCGCCCCAGCCAAACAGCGGGAAGGATGACCAAACAGCAGCAATTATCCATGTAGCTACACACACCAGATGGATGTTGGCTCCTTCTAGCCATGTAGCTGGAGATACAGAGAAGTTAATATTGGTAAATTCATCATAAATGAGTTGATTTACTTAATTAGACCTTAGAAATCTGATTGGTTGACATGAAATGGTATAGCATGTATTTCAAAGTGAAATTATCAAATAAGAAAAAAAAAAAACAGGACAAGACTTGATTTTATCCATTGGTTGTTGATTGGATTATGAAAAGTTAGCATTGTATACATAGATGGAGGTAGCTCTGAATGCCAAAAATGACCAGTTACATGATAAATTAACTGACCTTAAAGTTTAACCATTTATTTTTTTTATTACTGCTTACACACAATTTCCAAAACTATGGTTACTTTTCTCTAACTGCGGCGGTTCCGCAGCCTGTTATATCGCGCAAAAAACCGCTGCTTGAAATGGAGAATCGCCTGTACTGGTCTCGTGACACTATTGCAGCCACTACGGCAGGTGAGTTAATATAGGCTACATGCTATCTTCCTAATAATAAAAAATAAATTAATTCATAATACCCGCTGAAATGGGTTGGGTTTTATGACGTTTGATTCAGAAAGGCGTGTTAGGGGTGGGGTCTGGGGCAGCGCTGTGGGGCTACTGGCCCGGCAGTGGAAACGCAAGCCCGGTGCTTGAGGCCCGAGGCCACTAGCTCGGCTCGGCTCGCTGTTAGCTCTGGCCCAGCCCTAACCCGGCAGTGGAAACGAGGCTAGTGAGTGCCACCTTCTCTGAGTGATTCTGGGTTTACAGCTGATATTTTCTTAGCCGTTAGAAAGATGGTGGCCCCACAGATGGTGGAACGAAGTGATTGTGAAAAAAACTTTCAAAATGCTAACAATCAGGAAACTCCTCGCACAAGTGCGCCAGGGGAACTAGTTCATATGTTTTCATATGTTAAGATGATTATTGATTAGATGCCTCATTCCTTGAAAACATTTCAGAGAATGCTAGGCTGTATGGCCTCAGCCACAGCAGTACTCCATCTGGGCTTACTGCGCATGCGCCCGCTACAATGCTGGCTCAATGCTCATGCGTCTCGCCAACTAATCAGAGTGACTCAGACCTGTATTTTAGCTCTGCAGCCCTGGAAAGGGGCAAAGTGGTATCAGTGAGGAGTGATGATGGGGGCGATCTCACATTGAAAAGTAATCTCGACAGATGCAACCAACACGGGTTGGGGGAGCGATCTGCGAGGGAATACCGTTTTTTGGTCTGTGGTCAGACCAGGAGAAGCTCCTTCACATAAACTGTCTGGAAATGATAGCGGTCGAGAACGCACTCACTCACGTGCTTTCTCCCAGTTATTCGGGAGTCTGTTCGGACAACATGTCTGTGGTGTCCAGCCTGAACCGTCAGGGCCGAGTCAGATCCAGGAACCTCTGCGATCTGGCAGAACGTCTACTAGTCTGGTCTCAGAGTCACCTGCGCTCGCTGAAGGCGACGCACGTGCCAGGCCACCGGAACGACGGCCCAGACTAGAGGCATGGCCACATCGTGGGCGTGGTCCAGCGGGATTTCCATTCATGACATATGTGTGGCGGCGGGCTGGGCTTTCCCGTCCACCTTTGTCAGATTTTACAATCTGGAAGTTTCTGCCCTGCAGGCAAAAGTTCTGGCGGTATAAGTGAGATGCACGCAGGCTACTCTCATGACAATCAGCTCTCCTGGTTGAGCTGCACTATTGGGTTTGCTAGGTGTTTACACAGACTGGCGCCGCCGCTCTGCTGTTCCATTTAAGTGCTTATGTACATGTGCTTGCCCCCACTGCTGCTGGCCACCTATTATTCCCACTTATCAGGGCTCCCAGGGTTTCCCCGGGGCTCATGTTGTGGATGCTTGGCGTGCACGACGTTGACAAAGGGTTCTCGTAGCATAAGCTAACTTACGCAATACGAGAGAACCTCTTGTAAGAGAATGTATCGGTTACCTAACGTAACCTTGGTTCTCTCTAGGAGAGGGAACGAGTATTGCGTAATCGGCCGTGCGCGCGCCACGAGCGACTTTTGCTTCAGCTGATGAAAACCAGGGAAGCAGCCTCTAAACCCACGCCCATTCTGGCGGGCTGTGATGCCATGAGGGCGCGGGCGCCTCTCATGGGGCGTGACGTCACGCTGGGTTCACTGGTAGGGTTCTGCAGTTGCCGCAGAGCAGCCTATGAGCTCGCTAGATAGCCCGCTCTAGGTCTGGAAGCTGCTGCACTGCGTTGACAATGAATACAAAACTAAGGATAATTTTTGGCTTCAATATCTCGAGAAGATGAATCTTTCCCATAGCTAACTTACACAATACTCGTTACCTCTTCTAGAGAGAACCGAGGTTATGTTAGGTATAACCGATACGTTTTTATTTTTAAGTTGCAATTTAACTGGCAATTTTCCAAAATCAAACACTAAAGCTTTTAGTTTTGAATGATGTGTCTAATGAAGAGAACTATTTTAGACTAGAACCATTAAGGGTAACACTTACAATAAGGTTCCATTAGTTAACATTAGTTAATGCATTAGTTAACATGAACTAACTATGAACAACATCTCTATTCAACATTAGTTAATATTTGTTAACATTAACTCACACATGTACTAATGCATCATTTCACATTACCAGCACGGTTAGTTACCATTAGTTAATGCATTAGTAAACATGAACTAACTATGAACAATGCCTGTAAATAGATTTACTGTTTTGTAAGGTTAACATACTGTACATATTTGCATTAGTTTACGTAAGTCACCATGTTACCCTAAATGTAAAAACACTGTTGTGTACCTTATCAACACTCTTTCATATGAATAAGGCACTGATTTGTTGGTAAACATAATTCTACAGCGGAAAAATATGTTGTTCATGTTTATACGCACTTTACTATCATTACTTGTATTCAAATAAGTATTTATAAATGGACTGAGTGAAGAGTGTACACTATTTCAGCGTTAACTGATGTGTTACTAACATTGGTAGACTCTTTATTGACATGACTTATCATTAATAAAGAATTGTATTAATGGAATTTATAAACCTTATCGTATTTCAAAATTAACTGATGCGTACTGACAGTAGAGATATTTACAGGCATTGTTCATGGTTAGTTCATGTTTACTAATGCATTAGCTAATGGTAACTAACCGTGCTGTTAATGTGAAATGGTGTATTAGTACATGTGTGAGTTAACGTTAACAAATAACTAATGCTGAACAGAGATGTTGTTCAAGGTTAGTTCATGTTAACTAATACATTAAATAATGTTAACTAATGGAACCTTATTGTAAAGTGTTACCAATGAGGGTGATTTTTTTCACTGAGTGGCCACAAATACCACTTTTAATGTGGTTTAAATCCTCAATAATTTGAATCCAAGGAGGTAATCAATTTATATTTATGACTATCAGCAGTGGAAAACAAAGGTGGAGAATTAATAAAATTCATAAAGCAAGATTGTACAACGAAGGAATAAACAAAATAGTCACAAATACAAATAAACAGGAGAATAACACTGAGAACAGAACCCCCGTAAATCTTGACGAAAACGGACACAGAACAGAACAGGGTACAAGAAGATAATGATAAAATTCATGAGACAACAGGTGAACTGACTGAGGATGACACAGACTAGAAAAATTACTTGTTAAAAGATTTTTTTTAAACTAAAAAAATATATTTTTTAACTAAACAATTAACACTTTGTATGCGTTTTGGCTGTTCATTTATACGACCACAGTAGTCTATAGGCATGTGCGTTTGGTACGACTTCTCTGTGGATATTTACACGCGTGTACTAGTCTTTCTTTACAAAGTGACATCGCTAACTGATGACCTGGTTTACATAATAGTGTTTTTAGTAGTTTTCATGCATCCATGTGAATGGGGATCATTTTGATAATGTTGTCATCTGTACAAAGAAAAAACCTTTCCATTTTTAGTATATCATTAAACACCCTATAGGCCACACAAAGCATATTCCTGACAACTGTATGAATTGTATTCTAAACAATACACTGACTTCAATAAAATTCTATAAATCTTATTTATACGTTTAATTTTCACTTTACTCACACTCTTACCATAAAAAGTCTTGATGTAACGGATGACACTTATGGCAGCTATGGTGAACATGCCACACAGGCCAAAGATGAAGCAGCCAAGGCCATAATACACACAGGTGGCATGACTTCCCAGCCATACGTGGCTAAAAGATGACAAGATTGACAGCGGGTAGAAGCAGATACAGCCAAGAAAGTCAACCACTGCCAAATTGACACAGAGCAGCTCTGAACCAACCATCTTCCTTCTGCGGCGAAAACAGATTGCCAACACCACTCCATTGCCGAGTACTGACAGTATCACTGCAACAGCAAACAGAGAAAAATATTACTCTTAGAGAAAGTTAAAGTCACATAAAATGAATATGTAAATACTGTTAGCCATGAGATGTTGATAATAAATTAAACATACAAAACATGACCATTAACGTACAGCTATTTGCCAACAATATTGAGTAAAGAACCAAAGCCACACAACATGTAAAGTTATTATTTTTTGTGAAACATTTTGAATACATACTGTAGGCTACATACATACATACATACACAGATGTCTGTTTATTTTTTTCTGTAAATAAAAATAAATCAAATGTTCTGTAAGATAATGACTTGACAGAAAACAACCAGGAGATTAACAGCCCTGGGTTGAGCACTATCAAAATATAGTGTAAAATTAAACCCTTCCTTGAGTTTCTAACTTCACCATTCTGACATTATGGATTTAGGAAAGGGTTAAATGACCTGAACAGTACTGTGAAAGATTTCACAAATCAAAATGGTTAAGGTATGATCTCAGGGGAGGGTTAACTGACTAAAATGTACAGTGAACGTTTTCACAAATCAGAATAGTGATTTTAGGGACCCAAACTGGGAAAGATTACAAATCAGAATAGGGAAGAGTTACCTGACCATAACTGTAGGCTACATTGAAAGTTTTCACAAAACAGAACAGTGAAGTTAAGCACTCAGGGAAGGGGTTAACTGACTAAAACTATATTGTAAAACTTTTTACAAATCACAGTAGTGAAGACACACAGGGAAGGGTTAACTGTCTAAAACTGTACTGTGGAAGTTTTTACGAACCCGTATAGTGAAGTTTGGGACATGAAGCATTCTCGATTTTCATCAAAAATATCTTAATTTGTGTTCCGAGGATAAACGATGTCATAACGACATGAGGTTTGTAACGACATGAGGGTGAATAATTGATGACATATTGAGTAATGAGTAATTGATGACATATATGTAGGTTGAGTTAATGAGTTAATTAATTAATGAGTGTATGTATGGGTGAATGTGAGGCAAATGTAAAGCGCTTTGGTGGCCATTGAGTCAATGAAAAGCGCTATATAAATGCAGTCCATTTACATACATTTCATTTTTGGTTGGAACTAACCCTTCTAACAAAGGGATTAGAACACTATTTAAAAAAAAAATAACCCCTGACAAAATAATAATAAATAGCTGGATGACATTTCCATTTGTTATGACGTAGTTAGACAGCAATTGTAATCCACTTTGGATAAAAGCGTCAGCAAAATGAATAAATGTAGATTCAGATGCTAAATATCATATATTAAGTGATAATCAATCACTTAAGAGATAATCAACATATTTCTTAAGCAATCGTCATATTTCAAATATGATATTAATCATAATTGAATAAAATATAATGTATTGTTACTATATTAAATTATAATGGGACACACACACACACACACACATATATATATATATATATATATATATATATATATATATATATATATATAAATTTACTTTTTAAAATAATGTATATACATATTTTGTTTGTCAGTATATTTATCAAAATAAACAGAAAATAGTACAAACGTTGCTAAAGTGAACAGGTATTAACTTTTATTAACACTATTATTCAGAACTATTTTACTTAAAGTAAATAGCATGTGCTCAAGTCCTTGTTGGACTGTTTGAATGAGCTTAAAGTTAGGCTGTCTAAAAACATCCTTCAACGTAATGAAAAAAAAATCTGAAATTATAATATTTAGTCGTCCATGCTTTTTATTACGTCAAGACTGGATACTGCAACTCTCTCAGGGATCTGTCAACCTCTAATATGCCGTCTGCAGCTGGTGCGGATTGCCAGAGCCAGGCAATTGGCACTAAAAAAGGGGACCACATACAGTATTACCCTCTTGTCATTGGCTGCCGGTTCAATACAGGATCGATTATTAGATTTTATTCATGGTTTTTAAAGCATTGCCCAAACTATACATTGCTGACCTTTTAGGATTTTACATCAGGTAGGTTATACATTAAGATAAACTAACCAATTTTTGCTGGCTGTCCCTTATTCTAAAAAGAAGCCAAAGGGTGACCAAGCTTTTTCAGTTGTAGCTCCCAAGTTGTGAAACAGTCTTCCCCTTCATTTCCAACTAGCTCAAACAATAAAAATGTTTAAGTCTCAGTTAAAAACATTTTAGTTAAGGGTATTGTACATTGCAGTTATAACTTGTTTTTATCTAGTTTTATTGGTCTCATATACAGTTGTGTGAGGGGTGTGTCTAAGAGTGTATAGCCTAGCCTTTATCTGAAGGCTTGATACATGTTTTTATATGTGTATGTTTTATTGTTTTTAGTTAACTGAAGCACTTTGAGCAACAACGTTTGCTATTAAATGTGCTACATAAATAAATAAAAGTTGAAGTTGCCTTTTGCCACATGGTGAGCCACCTCATACATTTAAGATTTTTTAAACAAAATTAAACCAGTTTTATGATTTATTTTCACACAAAATATGTTGTTCCATCAATGTTTAGTAGCCTACATCCATATTTTTCTGCAATACAAATTTTTCTTAGGGTGTGACTAAAAAGTCATATAACAGATTTTAAAAAAACTGATTTCGGACAGCGGACAGGAGGACCGCGTCACCTGAATTCATAAATCATGAAGAATGACGATAATTGCATGTCTACGACAGCGCATGGGGATTTAAAGAAATAAAATAATTCCACAGATCCTCAATCAATATCACGTTCAACTAAATCAATCTGACTGTGCTTTCAACCTCGTTTTCTATGCTATAACCGCGATGATCTCTGAAACCGAATATAGGCTAAATGTGAATCGAAGCCAAAATTCATTGAACAGACATATTCACTTAGTTCGCGAACAGGATACCACTAAATGAAACGGACAGAATAAATAAGTAGCCTGTAACAAAACATATCACACTCACCAATTGACATTATAACCAATCCAACCACGATATCAGCAGCTGGCGAAAGTTTAGAAGTAAAACTCTCTGAGTTGGAGTTTCCAGGAAGCTCTTCATTTCTCGTTGAGTTCGAAAACATATTGTGTACGAATAGTCACGTTTCGTACTATTTTCCAAATGAATAAGGTAGGCTAGCTGATCCTGCATGGAAGAGTAAGAGGATATCAAATGACGTCTCTGGTCTCGCGCTCCCTCATCAGTGAGCATCAATGAGTCTTTCTTTCTTTCTTTTCTTTCTTTCTTTCTTTCTTTCTTTCTTTCTTTCTTTCTTTCTTTCTTTCTTTCTTTCTTTCTTTCTTTCTTTCAAAATAAAATGCAGAACAATAAATTGATAGCCTATTACAATTCTTGGAGTTCCACAAAGCTCAAAATACTACAATATTGTTGACATGTTTTCAGTTGTGGGTCTATTAGTGCAGTTGTTCTCAAGCAAGCTTGCTTATATGTGCATATAGTTTAAACAATTCAATTATTTTGTTTGTCAAGGTTGTTTGCTGCAATCAAAGGGGCTGAATTTCTACAATATATACATTTACCGTAGGCTATACCGTTTTCACGCAGCATTATGTCTTGGTTTTATTTGAGCATTTTAACCGTTAAATGACTTTAATATAGCCTAGGCCTAATGAATTTTAAGATATCTTGCATCTTGTTACTCAGCTGGTGGACTCAACTTGAAAACCAATGTATTAGTGCAATTGTGACAATAAAAGTAGAAATCCATTGATTATCACAAGACCATTGATTATATAGAACTTTGAAAAAGTCTCAGACATGTTAGCATTTACAGAAGTGTTTTTAGCAGTTTCAGCCTGACACAGTTATCGTTTTCACGTCCTGCGCCCATTTGTGCTCCCATTGGCTGCTGGTCTGAAAGTGAGGTGTTTTCAGGTGCATTGTTGGCTAGACTGCACTATTTGACTAACTGAAACCTATAGTCTAAAGTCAATGTTGCTGTATTTTATTTATTTATTTTTTGTTATTTAAAGAGAGCGTTAGTAATGCGAATGTACACTCTGCTTATTACACACACATGTGCAACAGCACACAAACATGCCAAATATTAAAAATAAAAGGATTACGATGTACATGTTTAATTGTGAACAAAGATATGGTGGAATGAATTCAGCTTGTCCCTCAGATGATCTGCTCACAAGCTTAAAGGAGTAGTTCACTTTAAAAAAAAAAAAACTTTTACTTTTGCTGATAATTTACTCACCCCCATGTCATCCAAGATGTCCACGTCTTTCTTTCTTCAGTTGAAAAGAAATGAAGTAATTGGATTATTATTGATTGAAATTAACATTTCAATCAACAATAATCCAATTACAATTGGCAACATTTATGGACCAAACTCTGATAAGACCCTTATTCATCGTCTGGTGTTGTTTAAAGCCCTTTAAAGCTGCACTGAAACTCTCATTTGGACTTTGAACCGTTTGGTTCCCATTGAAGTCCATTATATGGAGAAAATCCTGAAATGTTTTCATCAAAAATAATTAATTTCTTTTCCACTTAAGAAAGAAAGACGTGGATATCTTGCATGACATAGGGGTGAGTAAATTATCAGCAAAAGTTTTTAACTTTAAACATAAAAGTTTCTAAAGCAAAAGATATAAATAACTTGCTTTAAACTATTTTCTGTGTAAAAACACTATTGTGGCTAAGACTTTTGCACAATACTGCATGTATGCATAAATGGAAACCAGTAATTGTATTCAAACATAAAGTTCCTGATAACTAATCCACAGTTACCAATGTGAGGAGGCAGAGACTCGAGGAGGAATCAGCAGCCTGAATGAAGGAGGGTCTATGAAACATTCCAGACCTTTGCAAAGTACAAATGCTATTTATGATGTATAAAATACAGACAAATAATATCATATAAACAAAAAAAGCATTAGGAACTTTGTATGCTATAAGATTATCTGCTGTCAGTGGGCTGTTTAATCCCAGTCAATCACATGACTTGACAAATGGATCCTTCCTGAGGCAGATGGCGAAAGGCTATGAAGAAAGAACAAGTGAATGTATATGCAAAGCAAATATCAATATGCAATTGTCACCATACACCACTTGCCCTTTAGAAATAAATAAAGGTGTCTTCAACAGGTTACATTAAAAAACAATATAAATAATACCAAGTTGAAACCAATTAAGATTTAATTTAAATAGAAATGTAGGACTTAGATCATTGGCTGTTATTCTAACAGAATCTTAATAACAATTATTTTAATTCAACATCACTTTAAATGAAATGTTTGAATAAAATAATTAGGTAACACTTTATAATAAACAGTTCATTCATCAGTTCATTCATAAAGCATTAGACATTAATAAACAGTTCATAAATACAGCTAAATGCTTTCTTCTTGATTTAAAAGCATATCTATAATTTGTTTAATAATTGTGTTTCCATCTTTTATTAATGATCAATTTATCATTTCTAAATGAAGAATTGCATTTTTTATAAACCAGTTATTTAAGAGTTGTCAGAGGTTCGTAAGATTAGAACGTGTAAGTAAATGATTAATAAACTATATAAACATTCATACCTCTTATATTCGGACATGATGATTACTTATGTTTTTATGCTGTAACTCGGGGTTTTTATAAAGCATTTAGTAGTGGTTAGTTAACTATGTTTGTGAGCTCATCTAAAGTGAGGACTATTCATGCATTAATGCACTATACATAAAGCATTTATAAAGAAGATTTAAAGGCTGTTAAGACTGTGTTTGTTACATTTTACTGTTTAGAAGATTGATGTGCCTTTAACTCTCCTTTATAAATGCTTTACAAGGCATGAATAGTCCTCACTTTAGATTAGGTCACGAAATAAACAGACCACCACTAAATGCTTTATAACTACCTGTATTTACTTACTCTTTCTAAGTGATCTTATGAATGACTGACAACTCTTAAATAACTGGTTTGTAAATAATGCTATACATTATTAATTGATCATTAACAAAGGACGAAAATAGAATTATTAAACGCATTATAGATATGCTTATAAATCAAGAAAAATCATTCTGTATTTATAAACTGCTTATTAATGTCTACTAATGCTTTATAAATGATGACTGTTTACTCATGCTTAACAAATGATTAATAGCGTGCAGTTATTATAAAGTGTTACCAATATATATACAAAGTATATATTTTTTATTATTATTAGGTATTATTAGTCATGGACAGTTAGCTAGATGTATTTGCTACTTAGTCGGATAAATAATAAAATAAACATGTAGCCTATACTTAAAAATCAGCCACTAGTGCAATAAATGAATTACAAAAGATATATCTATACGAATAAATCAGCAATAGGCAATGGAAAGATGTTGTCTGTCTGTCTGTATCTCCACTTGGAAGTAGATATTTCCTCCCCTCGAGAGAAGGTCACGGAGAGATAAAGATGTGCTGCTGCTTTATTTACGCCTCACATTGAACAGCACAAAGAATACAATACAATGCAATACAGAATACAAAACAAAGCAGCGTACTGTGAGTCATTCGTTTTTGTACAAATAATAGAGAAAAGGTGCAATTGTGTTTAGTGAATGAAACATTGATTGCCCTCATTCATTGCTCAAGTCTTTTATAGATAGACGTTTGAGATTAGACTTGACTTGACACTTGACAACAGAGACCTCTGCTGGTGCAAAGATACACCGCATTCAGAAATCTAAGGGACATTAAAGCAAAGGAAATGTAAGTGGTGCCATTACTTTTTCTATTTATGCTCTTTTTTTAAGACATGGAACACAAATAATCTTCAAGCATCTTTTTGCATAAAACTGGAATATAGAACACGAGTCATATAACATATATTAGCCTATATATTAGGGCTGTCAAACGATTAATCGCGATTAATCGCATCCAAAATAAAAGTTTGTGTTTACATAATACACAGCTGCACTGTGTATAATTATTTTGTATATATAAATACACACACATGCTTGTATATATTTAAGAAATATTTTCATGTGTATATTGTATATAGATTTATATAAAATTTATATCATATATTATATTATAATTTATATTATATAAAATATAAATATTTTATATATAAATAATATTTTTTTCTTAAATATACATAAAATATGTGTATATTTATATATAGTATAAATATTATATATATATTCAAACAGTTTTCGGTCCTCGTTGACTTATATTATGAAAGTCAATGGGGACCAGCAACTGTTTGATTATCAACATTCCTCAAAATGTCTTCCTTTATGTTCAACAGAAGAAAAAACTTAATGATGCATGTTTAGAACAATGCGAGAACATAATTACATAGTTTTCTTTTTTTGGCGAGTGAACTATCCCTTTAAACTTTAACAGCCTAAATACTTTTGGTAGAAAATGTGTATGTTTCTTTTAGAAAGTCAGTCACGTTTCATCTCAAATGTATTTTTAGATACCCTTTTATTTATTAGAAAGAGGAGAACCGTGCATTTGAATCAGCCTGTCTGTTTCCTGGTCCATTTCCAATCCCTCCTTATGGATGTTCTGAATACATGGCTGTAACAGTATCATGTGTTACAGTGTGTGTGTGTGTGTGTGTTGCTATTAATTTATTTTCGCTATTCAAAAGATTAGCGATCCCACAAAAGAAAAAGAACCACTTTAGAATTATCTTTTTCTTTTTTTCTTTTAATTTGCCTTCTCACATGCTATCTTTTAAACTCTTTTTAAAACCTTTTTTTTTATTTATCACATTTTTAATTCATTTAATTTTTTTAAGTTATTAATGAAATTATTGAGAACCCACCAATTTTAACCAGTTTAAAAAAAGTCAAGTTTTTAAAGATTATCTATTAACCAGGTAATTTCATAATGTGAGTAATGAACTAAATAGTAGCTGAGGTGAAATAACTGAAGTCCATCGGATGGATATCTCGTTTAGTTTGTAGTCAAAACTGTAGATGGGTGGACAGACAGACAGACAGATTTACTGTTTTTTAATTGCCCACTGGGGGTCATAGTTTACCAACTTTTCCAAAATACAGCGGAAAACACACCTGAATATTATTGGTTTCATTTTGGTTGTAGGATCTGGTTTGGACTTTTTAATCTTCTTTTATACTACAGTAATTCTAACATTCATATAGAGTTTTCTGCCCTTCCAAAGATGGAATTTTGAACACATCTAGTTTGAATCTTGGGTGCTTAGCAATATAATTAATATTAGCCTGCACATTTAGTTTGGTTCTGGGCCGGTATCAGTGCGCGTGCTTTCGCCGCGTCTGCGCGTGCCCGCAGCCTGTAGGAGATCCAGAAACAGAGCCAAAGATCATCATCATCATCATCCTCCTCATCATCCTCCTCCTCCTCCTCCTCATCATCCCGGAGGAGAGGCCCATTGAATGCATGCCCGACACGCCTTACCCGGAACGCAAAGATGAGTTTACGCGTCTGATCTCAACCGTGTGCTGTGTTCGATTCGGGGATTTGAGAGCAGATCCGGAGGTTCGGCCGCCCGTCGGTTCGATGCGAGACTACACCAACATGCGCGTGTGTGACTGAGGTGCATGCATCCGACCAGGACACGGACTCTAGGAACCGAGTCAAGCCGTGGAGCAGACGACTTGCAGCTCACGGGTTCACCGATCATCATCATCCGCTACATGTGACCGAACCGAACCGTCCGAACCCATCGGCAGCTTCACCAGCGAGCTGCGCTTTAGCACGGTGAGAAAACACTTTCACGTGAAGATTAGACGATTAAAAATAGGAGATTGTTTCAGATCATTCATGTAATTTGAACCGTTGAAGCTTTTTGCTAGATGGAGATAACGGCTAACGTTAACGTTACCTGTTCCAAACCGGTTCGTCTCGGGATCCGCCAAGGACTTTAGTTCAAATCTCATTAATACCCGATTCAGTCAGACAGACACCGGCCACTTTAAATGAATGACAGACAATAGAAGATTTTATTGCTCGAATAATGAAATCAACCACTCAAATGAAGAGAAAATGTAAAAAAGAAATACTCGAATCATATAATGATCAGATGTGACCGTTAAACTGAATTAATGACCCGAGTTCGCCTTAGCCTAGCATGCTAACACAGCAGCGCACGCACAGAGACACTTTGTGATTTATTTAGCATTAGGTATTGTATATATTATCGTGTTTTATTAATTAATTTACATGTCTACATTTGAGTTGTTAGAAAATAGACATGTTTCAGAATTAATTATGCAGTGTTGTTAAAGCTGCAGTCCAAACTGTATAGCATGTTAGCCGCGTTAGCGTTCTGTTCAACAACACATTTTAAGGAATTAACCTTTATTCAGAGGATTTGTATTCTAATTCACCTTAAAACAGATTAATAAAAGGCATTCAAACGTCAATAACTGAGATGAAGTGTGTTAAACTGAAACTGGTCATGTTTGCGCTATCAAACGTTATCTTTGTTTATTGTGATTGGAAATTTAGAGACTTTCTCATGTTTTGAGTAAAAACACCGTCATTCTTAATAATTATGATTTTGTACTGGTTATTTACATATATTTTTACATATATACACTTTCTCAGGAGAAATATAGTATTAAGCATGATTGTGAATCTTGGTCTCTATGGTTAACTTGAAGTGGCTCCTCCTCAACATGCTTATCAGGAAAGACTATTTAATTTGAACCAAAGATTTTCTTTGTTTGTTTTGCATGATACACAGATATCAAAGTCTAACTGGCTTAAAGGGTGTCGGTATGAACCGGCATATTTATATCTGAGGTTACTGGATGTGTGTTAGTAAATCAGTTCACTTCATAGATGCAAGTAAGCCACGTCTCTACATTCTTTGGAGACTTCAGTCTCCTCCACGTCTTGGGTTGACTACCTTGATTTAAACATACATCAGCTACAGGCATTGCTAAGGTGTTGAGATATAATTTGCTTTGTTCTTTTTAACTTTGTTTTTTGCAGGCAGGACAAAAAAGTATGGCTCCCCATCTGGACGCGGCTCGCAAATTGTTCTGGATCTTAATGAAGTCGCTGCTCCGTTTCACCTTCATGTTTGTCAATAACTGTGTTGCGATCCCGTCCTACTGCCTCTACCTGATAGCCCTTCAGCCGTTAAGAGTTCTGGATGCCCACACGTTCTGGTACATTGAAGGGGTTATGTTCAGGTGGTTACTGGCAATGGTGGCGTCTTGGGGATGGTTTGCAGGTTACACAGGTAAGACCAGCTTTTTCCTCTATTTCACTCTTAAAAGTTAATGTTCCAAAAGTAGGTTTTTCGCAGTGATGCCATAGAATAACCTTTTTGGGTTCCTCAAAGTACCTTTCAGTGATCACTTCTTCAAAGAATCTTTTCTTAGTTTGAAGATTTTAACGATCCAAATCACTTTTTCCCCACTATAAAAAACCTTTTGTGGAATGTAAAGGTTCTACGAATGTTAAAGACCATGTACACACTGCAACTAAAGTGGTTGTCAATTCACCTTTTTGTGCTAATCCTGTTCAGTAGTAATGCGCGGGTCAGATTTTTTCCTGCTTTTATGAAATTATTTGGCCCGACCTGCACCACTGTATCTATTTATCTAGAAAATTGTTATATTGTTATATGAAAACAGGACATGTCCTGGGAAAACAGGACAGTTGGTCACCCTATCTTATAGGTTAAACTATATGTTTAACCTATAAGATAGGGTTTAACCTATACGATATAGTTTATAGGGATAACCTATAAACTATATGTTTCAATTTCCTTTTGGGAGTCATCCCTAAGGATTAATAAAGATAAGTCTAAGTCTATGTTATTTCTTAGACAGACCCTTCATGTCATATGTTTTGACATGCTGGAAGTGCCGTTTTGTGGCTCTCCTGTTTGTATATTTTTCACACGAGTTGCACTTCGCGTATTTCGGAGAACCCCTCTCAAAAATTACATTTAGCAGCCAGACCTTTTTTTCTTTTAATTATTATTCATTTAACACCTCGTCTTCCACCTTCACTTTTATTTCTCCATTCTTGTCGTTGTGATGTGTGACGTGACACCAAAGGTTTGAGGAAACCACACAAACGTTGCTGCGGCATTTGTATTGTAACCTCATCAAATAACCTAACGAAATATGAAAATAGATTTTCCCAAATATTGAATATAATCTGGAAATTGCACTGCCAAAACGCTCTCAAGCGCCCAAAGCACGGCGTCTTCAGCAGATCGTCTAGCGTTTTCAGCTGGCTAAAAACACTTTGGTGGATACACGGCCTTAAGGAAGTCTTGTACCCAAAAGCGCCTGTTTTTCTTTTGATATTTGTTTGTAACATAAAGCAGCAGCTAGGTCATCCATTTTTGCTACTTTAAAAACGCAGCGCGGGCGCGCGCATGCTTAGAATAGAAAGACTGTTATCGGTCGTTGGTGTGGACGCATATATAGGTATCTTTATCGTTATCTTTTTAGTTATCGTGCTTGGTGTGAACAGGCCTTTAAGCTCGAGTTTCACCTTATTTTAATATATTTTATAGTTCTTAGTTCTTATTGTAGACTTGATTATTTATTTTTTTACTGTGCCGTGGCAAAAAAAAGGTTGGGAAACACTGCCCTACTGGATAAAGTTCTTCATTGAACCATTAATGCCTATAAAGAACTGTTATTTTGATTACTGTTAAGATATTAAGAGTTCCTGACCTTTTTTAATAAGGTTAGGCATGCAAATTGTCAATTTCACTGCCTGACGGTGTAAAGCAATGTTTCTTCAGTCAAGTGAGCCACTAGACTTCAGTCAGAGTCTCCTTGTGTTGCCAAATTTTGACTGCTGAGTGGAGATCTATCGACTGTTTCATCTTTATTGACTCTCACTCACACTGTTGGGTTTCCGTAGTTTGGATCGATTTCAATATTTTCTTTGGTTGACAAGTTTGATTAAGCTATTACTGTGTTTTTGTTGTATTCGGACAGTATTATAATCTTATGGGATGTCTTTGTTTACCTCATATCCCTCTTTATGAATCCACATTATCGTTCATCACAGACTGGAAGTGGCATTTCATGTGGCGTGTGATAAAAGTATTGATTTGGCTATTTCCAGTAGAAAGAGGTTTTTAGGTTTCCTTGTTGAATTATGGACAGGTTGGATCGAGGTGAGTTGATGCGCCTCCTGCTTACTCACGGGCATTTCACAGCTAATTTCATTTTGTTGCACGCTGGTACTAAGAGTAGCATGAGTAGTGTTAATTGTACGCAGAAAGCTCTCGACTGATTATGTGGACCATGAGATGGAGGCGCAAGGGCTGGGACAATCAGCCTGTCATGAAGATAGATAAGACGCAGTCGTTCTCAGCCTTTTACAAGATAACAAATAAAGGTTGTTAATGTAACATTCAGCTGTGAAACACAGTTTAATATGCTGTAATCTTAATCTAAAATGATTTTAATGAATTGTATTATACGTGGAGATTTTATGAACTCATGATCATTGAACAATAATAGTTTTTTTTTAACAATAATACATTTTTATTTTAAAAATGACGTGAAACCTATATATATATATATATATGAAACATGCCCATTATACCACTGTTTTTGTTATGGAAGTTTAAGTCTGGGATTTTGGAGTAGGTATTTTGAAAATCAAATAGTTGCTTATTTGAATTGGCAAATTATTTGTTTGTTTGATAAAGTTATCTTAAGTCATTGTTAGACAAGCTTCCCTTTCACATGTACAGTTGGAGTTTTCCTTTTTGTGTGTCATTTTTTTGTGTGTTGTGTACAAATTGAAGACATTCCTTTATTCTGCATCGTCACGTTTGGTGTGCTTTTTCACCTATATGAAGTTGAATCTGGGAAAAGAGCAGACTAAATCAAAACCGCAGTTCTATTTTCATTTGTCTTCTCACAGGAACAGCTTGAGTATAGCATAC